ACTTTACAGTATAGTTACTTTGTACCATTTAATACACAATGTAGGATTTATATTGCTGGGAAATAATGGCGATGTTTATTAAAATAAAACTAAACTAATTCATGTGGTGATTCTTTATTTTCGGAACTGTAAACATTTAAACTAGCTTTGAAAACGATTCCACGCAGATTTAAATTTTGATGTTCTATATTACCCACAAAATTGTGAGCAAATCACACACACATATACAAACACATCACACGCGCGCACACACACACACATATATATATATATATATATATATATATATATATATATATATATATATATATATATATATATATATATATATATATATATATATATATATATATATATATATATATATATATATATATATATATATATACATATATATATGTACATATATATAATATATATGTACATATATATAAAGTTAATAATTAATTGTGAATGGAAATGTGTCTGCGTGTCTGTCATTCTGTCTGCCTTCATTTTTGTCTGTGTCTTGAGGATAGCCAAGACAATTTCAATAGCCAGCTACTTAAGTGAAATTTAAACAATTATGTCCATTCTAAATGCCAACATGTCTATTTTTAAAGGTTTGTATAGCTCCACGCAAAGCTCCGGAGAAGATATCTTTGATAAAACCCCAGCTTCTCTTCTGACGTCGTCTGCAACAAACACAAAATATTTATTATTGTAAAGTTGCTGATCAGTTTATGTTTCTATGGAGAGTAATGTAATGCTCATTGCAGGTTCATGCTCTACCAGCCAAATACCATTGCAATATATTGGTAACTGTGATGACCTAGTTAGGCAGTCCTGAGTATCATGCAACTGTTGAAGGTAGTCAGTGACACATTTTAAATAACCTAATCACATGGGACAATGTTGACAATTATGGGCATCGTTTTACTGATGTGTGTCAAGAGCAGGAGAGGTGTAAGGTGTGCATGGGGGGAACACTGTGTAAGGTGTGCATGGGGGGAACACTGTGTAAGGTGTGCATGGGGGAACACTGTTTAGGGTGAGCATGGGGGAACACTGTGTAAGGTGAGCATGAGTGAACACTGTGTAAGGTGTGCATGGGGGAACACTGTGTAAGGTGTGCATGGGGGAACACTGTGTAAGGTGTGCATGGGGGGGAACACTGTGTAAGGTGTGCATGGGGGAACACTGTGTAAGGTGTGCATGGGGGAACACTGTGTAAGGTGAGCATGGGGGAACACTGTGTAAGGTGTGCATGGGGGAACACTGTGTAAGGTGTGCATGGGGGAACACTGTGTAAGGTGTGCATGGGGGGGAACACTGTGTAAGGTGTGCATGGGGGAACACTGTGTAAGGTGAGCATGGGGGAACACTGTGTAAGGTGTGCATGGGGGAACACTGTGTACGGTGTGCATGGGGGAACACTGTGTAAGGTGTGCATGGGGGAACACTGTGTAAGGTGTGCATGGGGGAACACTGTGTAAGATGAGCATGGGGGGGAACACTGTGCATGCAGTTGGTGTGGAGCTCCACGTGGTAGAGATAATGGGGAGGTACACCATGCGTCATATGAGTATTGATGATACTGTCTGTGTAGTGGGTGTTGCGGACGATGTTTGTAAAGTGGTTACTGAGGACCTCAGGTGCCAGATGGGTGCTGGTGACCTCGTGTGTTAAGTGGATGTTCAGGAGCCCGTGTAAAGTTTTCACGGTGGTGTTGGGGACCATCGTGTTAATCTGTGCTTATCACCTCGTGTGTCAAGCGACTACTGTGGGTCTTGTGTGATGAACCGGTGTATAGGCAACCAATGTGCTAAGTGGGTGTTGCTAAGACCCTATGTTTAGTGTGTATTGGAGAACCCGTATGTTAAGGTGGTGCTGTGGACCACATGTGTTAAGTAGTTCTTTGAAACCCCGTGTCTCAAGTGGGTGTCGGGAACCTTGTGTGTTAAATGGGTGTTTGGGACCCAATATTTGAAGCGAGTGTTTAAGGACCACGAGTGTCAAGTTGGTATTGGGTAACCCAAGAAGGGTTAAGTGGACATTGGAGACTGCTGCGTGTTAAGTAGTGTTTGGAAGTCCCACTGTATTAAGTGGGAGTTGGGGACTCCAGTGAGTCATCTTGTTGTTTGGGAATCCTGTGAGTAAAGTGGGTGTTAGGGATTATGTGTGTCAAGTAGGTGTTGGTGACCCCGTGTATGAAGTTGGTGTTTGGGACCCGGAGTGTTTAATGAATGTTCGGGGCTCCAAACACTCACTTAACACTCAGAAAAAAACTTGTCGTCAGTACAAGTTTAAACTTGAACTAAACTTGACGTAAGTACAAGTTTAGGTCAGGTCGTATACCTTTAGTGACATCTGGTGGGTATATTTTGAAGTAAGGAGTGGCACCCTAGCTGGTGGAGGGAAATTAAACAACCACAATAACTGATGAAACGAACTCTGACAGACTGAGGTAGGTCCAAGAAGCTCACTTTACTCCTCTACACCCTAACATGGAAGAAACATTCAACAATGCACGAGTAAACGAAGAAGTGTGAGTAAGACATAGGTTGGAATGGTCATGATTCTTCAGTAGAATACCAGGAACCACTATCAGTTACGCGCACACACTCACTCACGATCGCTCAGACTCATGCATTCTCATCCATGCTCATACACCCCTCATCCACTCTCGTATGTACTCACTCTCTCGCTCTCTTTTAAACACTCTAAAGAAGTTGGGAAATGTTTTGGAATATCTGTACAAACTAAAATCGGAGAGTATACACAAGACATGGATGATGGACTCATCCATGAATAGCCGGGTGCACATAGTCGAGAACACATAATATCAAAGCTGGTCTCTATATGTATTAGCATGAATTGCAAAGTGTGAATAGACTAGTACACAATCTGCAACAAATTGAATACCGGTATAAGTAGATGAAATTGGCTGGAATGATTGGAACACAAGAGCTAATTCCCACATTCACGGGTGTTTCAAGGCCTGACCAGCGTTAATAGATTTTTCCTGAAACTGCCATTAATCCCCATAAATCCCATGGCATAAGGGAAGTATGAGTAGGTGGCTACACAATGGTATGGAACTGGGAAGATAAGAATGGAAGATGGCATGGAACTGAGAGGTTAAATTAAGTATAAATAGATATGAATGAAGAGGTAAGTGCATATAGGTCAATACATACATACGCACATACATACGACAATGTCATGAATTGCTGAGCAATAAAGATTTGATTGTGAAGGTGATGATGTCGCCCTGGAGGCCGAGGGACACACACAAGTGTTTGGACTACACCTATTTTTTTGCACTTGTTTATAGATTTTTTTGGACTTGAATATTGATATTTTTTGAACGTGCGTAAACATATATTTGTACTTTATACAAAAATAATGTACACGTATAAGAGTCTTTCGACTTGCGAATAATAGCTTTCGGACTGGTGTTCATCGCCAGTGACTTTTAGAATATAATAATATCCCGATTCAATCGATTCCTTTACAGTCTTGAGGTTTCCACCAGACCCTAGTCAGGGTTTCACGCATTGTCCGCATGCACTCTGGCAGTAGTATAGGTGGACATGCACTCTGGCTGTAGTATTGGTGGATATGCATTCTGGCTGTGTTATAGGAGGACATACACTCTGACTGTGGTACAGGAGGAGTTCTATCTCTAATGCTTTTCTCGTCAAATGCACAAAGAAAGCACATTAACACGATTTATCATTGAGAAAATCAGTAGGAGCTAGGGGAGGATCTGGAGCTACACAGTGGGTACTCCCAAGCACACGCCATAGACTACGACATGGTCTACAGGTCCAGGGTGCGGTCAGGTCCACGGGTATGGTCAAATCGACCTCACCCCTCCTATTGATTTTCTCATTGATACATCACGTTAATGAAACCAAAGACAGAGTAATACAGCACTCTGGCTTTAGTATAGGAGTTCAGCCTCCAACGCTCCTCGCAAATGCATTTTGTGCATTTGACGAGAAGCGTTGGAGGTAGCCACTTCTATACCACAGCCAGAATGTATGCGGGCAATGCCAGAAAACCTGACTTAAATATCCCTATTGTTGCCACGAGATGCACTGAGTATACCTTTGTGTTGCACTAAGTATAGTTAGTTGATATAATGGTATGATATATATTGTACAATTTCAATAGGTTCATGGTGCACTGGGTGTTGGTAGATCGTTCTTTATATATAGGTAGACGGCCTTTGGTATACATAGGGCAATGAGTTCTAATAAATGATACATTAGGAATTGATAACCTGTATATTGGGTATATACAAATAGTACATTTGACTTAGGTAGATGATACATATGTTGATAGTATAGCAAGACGGTCTTACATATGTTTATAGTGTAGCAAGATGACCATACATATGTTGATAGTGTAGCAAGGTGCCAATACACAGAGAGTACAAGGTTCAAGAAGCAACCCAATTGGTGTGAAGTAGGACATATTATATGGGTGTATCAACGTGACTTTACACAACTCTATATACTTTACAGTATAGTTACTTTGTACCATTTAATACACAATGTAGGATTTATATTGCTGGGAAATAATGGCGATGTTTATTAAAATAAAACTAAACTAATTCATGTGGTAATTCTTTATTTTCGGAACTGTAAACATTTAAACTAGCTTTGAAAACGATTCCACGCAGATTTAAATTTTGATGTTCTATATTCCCCACAAAATTGTGAGCAAATCACACACACATATACAAGCACACCACACACGCGCGCACACACACACACACACACACACACACACACACATACATACACACACACACACACACACACACACACACACACACACACACACACACACACACACACACACACATATATATATATATATATATATATATATATATATATATATATATATATATATATATATATATATATATATATATATATATATATATATATATATATATATAAAGTTAATAATTAATTGTGAATGGAAATGTGTCTGCGTGTCTGTCATTCTGTCTGCCTTCATTTTTGTCTGTGTCTTGAGGATAGCCAAGACAATTTCAATAGCCAGCTACTTAAGTAAAATTTAAACAATTATGTCCATTCTAAATGCCAACATGTCTATTTTTAAAGGTTTGTATAGCTCCACGCAAAGCTCCGGAGAAGATATCTTTGATAAAACCCCAGCTTCTCTTCTGACGTCGTCTGCAACAAACACAAAATATTTATTATTGTAAAGTTGCTGATCAGTTTTGTTTCTATGGAGAGTAATGTAATGCTCATTGCAGGTTCATGCTCTACCAGCCAAATACCATTGCAATATATTGGTAACTGTGTTGACCTAGTTAGGCAGTCCTGAGTATCATGCAACTGTTGAAGGTAGTCAGTGACACATTTTAAATAACCTAATCACATGGGACAGTGTTGACAATTATAGGCATCGTTCTACTGATGTGTGTCAAGAGCAGGAGAGGTGTAAGGTGAGCATGGGGGAACACTGTGTAAGGTGAGCATGGGGGGAACACTGTGTAAGGTGTACATGGCGAACACTGTGTAAGGTGTGCATGGGGGAACACTGTGTAAGGTGTGCATGGCGAACACTGTGTAAGGTGTGCATGGCGAACACTGTGTAAGGTGTGCATGGGGGAACACTGTGTAAGGTGTGCATGGCGAACACTGTGTAAGGTGTGCATGGGGGAACACTGTGTAAGGTGTGCATGGCGAACACTGTGTAAGGTGTGCATGGCGAACACTGTGTAAGGTGTGCATGGGGGAACACTGTGTAAGGTGTGCATGGGGGGAACACTGTGTAAGGTGTGCATGGGGGAACACTGTGTAAGGTGTGCATGGGGGGGGGAACACTGTGTAAGGTGTGCATGGCGAACACTGTGTAAGGCGTGCATGGGGGAACACTGTGTAAGGCGTGCATGGGGGAACACTGTGTAAGGTGTGCATGGGGGGGGGGAACACTGTGTAAGGTGTGCATGGGGAACACTGTGTAAGGTGTGCATGGGGGGGGGGAACACTGTGTAAGGTGAGCATGGCGAACACTGTGTAAGGTGTGCATGGGGGAACACTGTGTAAGGTGTGCATGGGGGAACACTGTGTAAGGTGTGCATGGGGGAACACTGTGTAAGATGTGCATGGGGGGAACACTGTGTAAGATGTGCATGGGGGAACACTGTGAAAGATGTGCATGGGGGAACACTGTGTAAGGTGCATGGGGGCATGGCATGGGGGGGAACACTGTGTAAGGCGTGCATGGGGGAACACTGTGTAAGGGTGCATGGGGGAACACTGTGTAAGGTGTGCATGGGGAACACTGTGTAAGGTGTGCATGGGGGAACACTGTGTAAGGCGTGCATGGGGGAACACTGTGTAAGGCGTGCATGGGGGAACACTGTGTAAGGTGTGCATGGGGGAACACTGTGTAAGGTGTGCATGGGGGGGGAACACTGTGTAAGGCGTGCATGGGGGAACACTGTGTAAGGTGTGCATGGCGAACACTGTGTAAGGTGTGCATGGGGGGGGGGAACACTGTGTAAGGTGTGCATTGGGGTGTAAGTGTAAGGTGATCATGGGGAACACTGTGTAAGGTGTGCATGGGGGAACACTGTAAGGTGAGCATGGGGGGAACACTGTGTAAGGCGTGCATGGGGGAACACTGTGTAAGGCGTGCATGGGGGAACACTGTGTAAGGTGTGCATGGGAGGGGGAACACTGTGTAAGGTGAGCATTGGGGTGTAAGTGTAAGGTGATCATGGGGGAACACTGTGTAAGGTGTGCATGGGGGAACACTGTAAGGTGAGCATGGGGGGAGCACTGTGCATGCAGTTGGTGTGGAGCACCACGCGGCAGAGATAAGGGGGAGGTACACCATGCGTCATATGTGTATTGATGATTCTGTCTGTGTAGTGGGTGTTGCGGACGATGTTTGTAAAGTGGTTACTGGGGACCTCAGGTGCCAGATGGGTGCTGGTGACCTCGTGTATTAAGTGAATGTTCAGGAGCCCGTGTAAAGTTTTCACGGTGGTGTTGGGGACCATCGTGTTAATCTATGTGCTTATGACCTCCTGTGTCAAGCGACTACTGTGGGTATTGTGTGATGAACCGGTGTATAGGCAACCAATGTGTTAAGTGGGTGTTGCTGATACCCTATGTTTAGTGTGTATTGGAGAACCCGTATGTTAAGGTGGTGTTGGGGACCACAAATGTTAAGTAGTTCTTGGAGGTCCTGTGTCTCAAGTGGGTGTCGGGAACCTTGTGTGTTAAATGGGTGTTTGGGACCCAATATTTGAAGCGAGTGTTGCAGGACCACGAGTGTCAGGTTGGTGTTGGGTAACCCAAGAAGGGTTAAGTGGACATTGGGGACTGCTGCGTGTTAAGTAGTGTTTGGAAGTCCCACTGTGTTAAGTGGGAGTTGGGGACTCCTGTGAGTCCTCTTGTTGTTTGGGAATCCTGTAAGTTAAGTGGGAGGTGGGAATCATGTGTGTCAAGTAGGTGTTGGTGACCCCGTGTATGAAGTTGGTGTTTGGGACCCGGAGTGTTTAATGAATGTTCGGGGCTCCAAACACTCACTTAACACTCAGAAAAAACTTGTCGTCAGTACAAGTTTAAACTTGTACTAAACTTGACGTAAGTACAAGTTTAGGTCAGGTCGTATACCTTTAGTGACATCTGGTGGGTATATTTTGAACTAAGGAGTGGCACCCTAGCTGGTGGAGGGAAATTAAACAACCACAATAACTGATGAAACGAACTCTGACAGACTGAGGTAGGTCCAAGAAGCTCACTTTACTCCTCTACACCCTAACATGGAAGAAACATTCAACAATGCACGAGTAAACGGAGAAGTGTGAGTAAGACACAGGTTGGAATGGTCATGATTTTTCTGTAGAATACCAGGAACCACTATCAATTACGCACACTCACTCACTCGCGATCGCTCATACTCATGCATTCTCATCCATGCTCATACACCCCTCATCCACTCTCGTATGTACTCACTCTCTCGCTCTCTTTTAAACACTCTAAAGAAGTTGGGAAATGTTTTGGAATATCTGTACAAACTAAAATCGGAGAGTATACACAAGACATGGATGATGGACTCATCCATGAATAGCCGGGTGCACATAGTCGAGAACACATAATATCAAAGCTGGTCTCTATATGTATTAGCATGAATTGCAAAGCGTGAATAGGCTAGTACACAATCTGCAACAAATTGAATACCGGTATAAGTAGATGAAATTGGCTGGAATGATTGGAACACAAGAGCTAATTCCCACATTCACGAGTGTTTCAAGGCCTGACCAGCGTTAATAGATTTTTCCTGAAACTGCCATTAATCCCCATAAATCCCATGGCATAAGGGAAGTATGAGTAGGTGGCTACACAATGGTATGGAACTGGGAAGATAAGAATGGAAGATGGCATGGAACTGAGAGGTTAAATTAAGTATAAATAGGTATGAATGAAGAGGTAAGTGCATATAGGTCAATACATACATACGCACATACATACGACAATGTCATGAATTGCTGAGCAATAAAGATTTGATTGTGAAGGTGATGATGTCGCCCTGGAGGCCGAGGGACACACACAAGTGTTTGGACTACACCTATTTTTTTGCACTTGTTTATAGATTTTTTTGGACTTGAATATTGATATTTTTTGAACGTGCGTAAACATATATTTGTACATTTATACAAAAATAATTTACAAGTATAAGAGTCTTTCGACTTGTGAATAATAGCTTTCGGACTGGTGTTCATCGCCAGTGACTTAGAATATAATAATATCCCGATTCAATCGATTCCTTTACAGTCTTGAGGTTTCCACCAGACCCTAGTCAGGGTTTCACGCATTGTCCGCAAGCACTCTGGCAGTAGTATAGGTGGACATGCACTCTGGCAGTAGTATAGGTGGACATGCACTCTGGCTGTAGTATTGGTGGATATGCATTCTGGCTGTGTTATAGGAGGACATACACTCTGACTGTGGTACAGAAGGAGTTCTATCTCTAATGCTTTTCTCGTCAAATGCACAAAGAAAGCACATTAACACGATGTATCATTGAGAAAATCAGTAGGAGCTAGGGGAGGATCTGGAGCTACACAGTGGGTACTCCCAAGCACACGCCGTAGACTACGACATGGTCTACAGGTTCAGGGTGCGGTCAGGTCCACATGCATGGTCAAATCGACCTCACGCCTCCTATTGATTTTCTCATTGATACATCACGTTAATGAAACCAAAGACAGAGTAATACAGCACTCTGGCTTTAGTATAGGAGTTCAGCCTCCAACGCTCCTCGTCAAATGCATTTTGTGCATTTGACGAGAAGCGTTGGAGGTAGCCACTTCTATACCACAGCCAGAATGTATGCGGGCAATGCCAGAAAACCTGACTTAAATATCCCTATTGTTGCCACAAAATGCACTGAGTATACCTTTGTGTTGCACTAAGTATAGTTAGTTGATATAATGGTATGATATATATTGTACAATTTCAATAGGTTCATGGTGCACTGGGTGTTGGTAGATCGTTCTTTATATATAGGTAGACGGAGCCTTTGGTATACATAGGGCAATGAGTTCTAATAAGTGAAACATTAGGAATTGATAACCTGTATATTGGGTATATACAAATAGTACATTTGACTTAGGTAGATGATACATAGGATATAGATAGATGGTACATTGGGAAAAAGTAGATGAAACATTAATTAATGGCAGATGGTTCATTAAGTAAAGATAGATGGTTCATTAGGTGTAGGCAGACACTATAATGTTTACATATATAAATGGAACATTTGGGATAAGCAATTGCTACTTTTGTGGTATTGATAGATGCAACATTGGGTATATGTAAATGGCTTAGTGAGTATAGATAGATGACACACTCGAAGAAGGTCTGAACAGAGACAGATGGGTGATGCTACACGTTAGTCTAACATGTATATGTTAGACAAGATTCTTACCCTCGATTCTTACACTACAACAAGATTCTTACCCTCGCTCCACGATGGAGATGTCCGAGCAGAGTGTGGTCCGCTGGTTGGAGCAGGAGGAACCGGCCACTTCGACACCGTCCTCAGGAGCACACTGTTCCGTCACCAGTGTCCACTGTGTATCGCGGCAGCAGTAGCAGCAACACGGCGTTTACCAGAGACGATGGATTAGTTAGTCAAGTAAATGTTATAAAGTGGAGAGTGTGCAGTGGACAGAATACATCAGATATCTGCCTTGGGAGGATAATTATCGTTATTGACGCAGCGGCTTTTCCACTTGACGCGAGAAATGTGGGGAAGTATTTATTAACATAACTCTGGTAATAAAATATTCAATTAAATCTTTATGAGGATCAGACATTGTTTAAATTTTATTAATAAACTAATGCATACTACAGAAGTGCGTAATTAAATAACGCAATCCCATGGGCCTGCCCGACGCCGCCTGACTGTGACATTCAAACTATCTTAAACAATTATGAAACTAAAGTTATTTCCTTACACGTTTTATAAATTATATAACTATAAAAAAATTTACTAATACCTTTTTAGGAAAAACAAGAATAATTTTAATTAACATTGTTAATTCTAATTTAAAAACCGATAGAGACTTAAGCTCTCAATGATTAAATCATCTTGGAGAGTTCTCCTTCTGACTCAGAAGTTGGTGGCAGGAGCGAGGCTTTGACGCCATTATTTACTCGTCCACCAACATGACTATGTACATGGGGAAATAGGCTTACAGATTCCGGAAGATGAGAGGAAATGTCAACACTGTGGAGAAATGCCCAACAGACCACTGGAACATTATCTAACACAGTGCACAGTTACAAACCCATTAAGATTTTAACTTAGATTCAACAGAGCAGAAGAAGTTGTTAAACACATATGGCAAAATCTTACTGAAGCGACCATACGAGTCATAAATACTCATACTCCGCCCAAGTAAAACAGAAACAAGCAACACTTAGTGGGCCAGCCAGAGGCTTAGGGCCCGCGCAGGAATATCCCTGCCAAAAAAAAAAATGACTGGTCAACAGCATGGCGACCGACCTTATTAAGCAGCCTAGGGTTACTGTTCTGCTGTTCTAATCCCACGACCACAAGATCTGGTCGTGTCCGCCTCACACTTTAGCGACAGCTAAGTGTCTCCCGTTCCGCACTTAGTGCTCTGTGTAGTGGCCGTAGCATTTGAGCAGAGGGGGAACACAGGGGCGGCAGGTAACAGTTATAATGGATGACATCACCGGCATGTAACGTATGGTCAATAATCATTAATTCTCTATTAATTTAAATGAGATAATTTGGTGAGATATAACATCAATCTATGTTTAATCTAACAGTGAATTTGGTGGCAGGAAATGTGGATCCAGTCAGTCCGCCTTCCTTCTGGACGCTGAGCACCTATATTTTTACCCACGTGTTCAGGCTTACCCACACTCCTAGCCAGCTAACTCTGGAATTATTAATTACCAACTGTAATTTAGATAGTCTAGTGAATATTCGTAAAGTAAACAATTTACCTAGAAATATAATATCTAGATTAAACAGAACTTAAGTTCAATAATACACTGGATGATCTAAATTTAATTAATAATAAATTTTAACTGTCCTTTGGGGTTGTGTGAGAACTACTTACAACTATTGATACAGTCCAATCTCTAATATATAAACGACAATAATAATTTCCCAGCGAAAGCCCACAAGGTATATCAACCTCAACGTTTACTGAGAGCATAAAGCACCGAGTTTATTGATAAAATGCTAGATATTTTTTGGAGCCATTTATTTATTAAAGAAAGCTTATGATGTTTGTGGCGGTTTTCTGTTATAAAATTTGCATATTCTTTCATTAGTTTACATATTTTCTTAACTGCTAATTGTGATTATTATAAAGAATCTTGCTCGATGTAAATGCCGGTGCCTAACAAGGATGTTAAAATGGAACGAATGTTGACAGGGGTAGTAGGTATCTTAACAAAATTATATTGTTTATGTTATTGTCCCATACCATATTTTTAACAGAAGCCATAAAGATAACATACATGTTAATTATTGTATGTGATTCTTGGCAAAATATCTAAACTCATTTCATTGCATGACTGATTAAAAAAATTAGGCATTAACACACATGTGAGATCAAGTCTCATATTAGTGTGATTCTGGATGTGTTAAAACTTTTTTTGGTCCTTTAAGGTATACGTTAGTATGAACATTAGGTTATTGCTTATGTTCCTCGTAACTTTGGAGAGCAGGCCAAAATATGCCAGAATTGTAATGATTTGCATAAGTTATTACGAATAAAGTCCTTAATCTAATGTAATCTGTTAAATAATGATCTTCAGTGTCATCTGACTTGAGAATTCTTACTTAAGGATTGTAGCATTGTTATATACAAGCCTATTGGGTAAAACACTATTTTGATGAAATATAAATTGGGAAAGGCATTGTCTGAGCGAGACCGTAGAATTATCTTTCCTATAATCATGAACTCAATTTAACTTTTCTCTTCACAGATAACAGAGTACTCCATCCAACTTTCATATATATCCTGTCCACAGTCTTGAGGACGATAACTTTTTTTTTTATTTTTTACATTTATTTAAAAACTAGATTAGCTTTGGAAAACAATATGTTCACCGGAAATAAATTGAACCAGCAACTTTGATAGAAAGTAAATCCTTTCAAACACTTGGTTGAAAAGTCTTTGTTTCAAAATGTCTGTCTTTTACATCACAGAGAGTCGTGAAAAATAATCGATAAATTGGAATCTTTTTTTCCATTGCATAGCCCATAAAATCAACTAATTGTGACAACACCAGACCTAAGAAGAAGAAGAGGTACTGAACAATTATGTTATCTAATGCTGCCGATATGAATAGGAAGGTTATATTCCAGGAGTTTTGAAGTGTAATTATGCTAGTTTTGCCCATATTCATATAATTTATCAAACCCATTACTAGAAATGGTTTGGGGCCTTGTGGAGATTGTACCTAACTCTCAGGCAATTTGTTCAGTGGTTTAATCATATCATACACCCTCTTCTCCGATTGTCCTAAGATGGCCCTATGGAGTTCTATGATTGGCTCCTCGAGTTTACCTGAGATAACCAATTGTTGGGATATAATTGTACTCTTAACAGTTAGCCAAAGCCTTATTACAACTTGAGAATGAAACAAGATGCTTTCCATGCAGTAGCTTCTCCACTGTGTGATACTGTGACTAATTGTCGTCTACAGTAGAAAAGATGACTAGTGAGCGATTAATGAACCATATTTATAAAAATAACATCCAGGTAAAGGCAAAATTAACACTGTTGCAGAAAATAACTGTTCAGAAAAAATGCACATGAAGCTTGCAACAAGCTATAGACAATAACTAGATTCATATTTGTTTAAAACAACCATAATGTACATAAAAATCACATTAACATGATGCATCAATGAGGAAATTAGTAGAAACCAGGAGGAGGATGCGAACCTGCACACTGGGTACTCCCAAGGACATGTTATCGACCACTTAACAAAGATATGCTCAAAAGCAATGAAACCTGGGATTCAAATCACTAATCACATTAATGTGATTTCTTTATGCATCTGAAGATAAGTTTGGAAGGTAAAACTCCTATACGACAGCCAGAGTGCATATGGGTAATGAATATAATGAAACGAGTTTCGATATTTTGTTAACCATGTGGGTAATGAGTATAACACTGATGTGGTTTCAGTAGAAGCCTCAGGGCCCCTAGATTCAGATGAATACCAGGTTTCATTGATTTAGAACATATCGTGGTTAAGCGATTTAAAGTGTGTGCTTGGGAGTTCCCAGCGTGCAGGTTCGCATCCTCCTCATGGTAACAGTCATAATAATAAATTATGTGAGTAATATATGGACATACAATGAATCATAATAACGTGGCTGAAGATATAATACCCAAACCACACATCAGAAAAGGAAGAACTTACTTTTCGGACCGTGCTGAACCATTATCCAGTTGGGTGATAGAAGAGAGAAAGGGACAAAGAAATATATAATGTAAAAGAGTGAGATGAGAGGTGAGGAACAGGCGTCTGTGAAGAGTAGAGGCTTGAAAGATTATTATAGAAAAGGCCAATCAATAGGATGATTACAGTCACTAACATGACAGAGAGCATTGTTTGTGTCTGTAGTTCTTTTGTGTTTCTAAAGTCTGTCATTTAGTGTACGGCAAGTTTCACCAAAGTATTGGAAAGGACAAGACGATCAGGAAAAAGAATAGATACGAGCAGCATTTGAAGCAGGAGGAGCAGTGTGAACCAGATTACTACGAAGTGTGTCAGTTTGCTGAAAGGTGAGTTTAAATCAAGACGACGACGGTTATTAGTGAGATTTTTTTTTTAGTTCAGATATGACACGAAGACAGAACACAGTGTTACTAGTGTTGGAAACAAGTCTAGGGTGAAAAAAGTTCATTTTGCTTGAGAATAGCCACAGTTGATAAAATGTAAGGTATCCGAGGCGAGAGTTACATGTAAATAAAAGAAATTTCAGAATCAAGAAACTGCGGGTTACTGATGCTAGGACCTGGAAGAGATAAACCAGATTCCTTTTCTCAACAGAATGGGAGATAGTATGAAAAGAAGGGAATGTAATTATCACCTGACAGCTGAGTGGACAGCGCTTCGGATTCGTAATCCTGAGGTTCCGAGTTCGATCCCGGTGGAGGTGGAGACAAATGGGCAAAAAGTTTCCTTCACCCTGATGCTCCTCTTATCTAGCAGTAAACAGGTACCTGGGAGTTAGAGCTGCTACGGGCTGTTTCCAGAGTGTGTGTAACAAAATGGAGGCCTGGTCGAGGGCCGGGCTGTGGGAACGCTAAGCCCCGAAATCACCTCAAGAAGAAGATCACTGTGCATAGGCTTGCGGAAAACACAGAAAGACAACCTAGACCCCAGAGCTGTGAACATGAACGTCTAGAAAAGGAAGGAAAGAGATTGATTCCAATCATCTTTGAAAATAATAGAAGAAGCCAGATAGTCAAGAGAGGAGATCAAAAGAGGCTGTAAATAACAAGGATCATAAGGCCATAGAGCAAACACATCAATAACATAACGAAGCCAGAGAGAAGGACGAGTATCAATAGTGGGAAGAAAGACTTCGAAGTGCTCCATATAGAGACTGGCAAGGACAGGGGAGAGGGGAACCCATGGCAACACTTAGAGTTTGAAAGTAGTATTTTCCATTGAAAATAAAGAATTTAGAGTCAACACAGCGACGTCGTCGTCTCTTCATTTTCTGATGTGTGGTTTGGTCATCAATAATATATAGATTGTGTGATTTGGAGAAGTGGGACAACGGAAGAGGATAACAGCTAAACAGGGACTACTCACCTGAAGAGTGCAGGAATCACAGGTGAAGTGGTCAGGTATGATGAGAGGTATATTGTACTCTCCTCCCTGGGTATTCTTGTCCATCTTATACTGACGGCCTTCCACCCCGGATATCTCCAAGGGCCACCTGCGCGTCATGTCATTAAGGTCAAGTTAGGTCATGTCTCAGAAACGTACTTAAAATGACGTTTTTGAGAAATATCCGTTGAATAAAATATTTCAACTCACACACAAACACATGTTCAAAAAGCAATAAGCAAACTCAGTTTAAACTTGTTTATCGTGATTAATTTTAATTCATCAATTAGAAACTAAATGAATTTGGCTTTTCTGTAATGAAAGTTATGAAAATTTACCAAATATGTTTTAGATATTTTGTATATATATTATAAAATAAGATATAAAAAAGATACATTATAATTATTCATGATATAAATTCCTAGTTGTAGCTAATACTGTTAGACAGTAATGACATTTGCCTTTCTATGAAATTTTTTGAGAATATTCTAACTGTGGGGGACTGTGCCTAGAAAGACTGATGTATCACCTCATGAGGCAGTCTTCATCCCCGGGGCCTGTCTTAGGGCAGAGGTAGAACTCGAAGACCCCTTCCTCCACATGCGGCACCTGGGCCTTCACCAGCATCTCCTGTAATCCACCGACGGAAAAAGAAGAATGTCAGAAAGGCCAGTTCATGTGGTATCTTTACCTTCACAGCATATATAGACTGCACAGGACGGGAGAAGGGGGGGGGCAGGGATAATTGCTATTTGATGTTTTCAACTATTTTTTATAAAATTTACCAAAACGAGTATCTCTTTCTTAAAAAACTTCTCACCACCTTCATCACAATTGTCACCATGACTAAATATGCCACTACCACTATCATTATGACATATAACTCCCATAACAACTACCACAACGACCAATATATACCACAACCACTAACACAACGACTAACGTAGATCACAATGACTAACATATGCGACGGAGTCGGGTGGCAACCACCGGCCGAGTCGGACGCTCCTGAAGTCTCTCTTCTCCTGGCTAGTGTTTACATTGGACAATTGCTGGTTGCCCTGGGGGGTGGTAGTTTGCCGCTGACAGGATGACATTTGGATTTGCCATGGGGACTTCTCGGCCTCTAGTGACGATTACGTCGTCGGCTCGTCTGGCATTTACAGTGCCAGTGGACCATCTGTAGGTTGGCATCACCCCTGGTGGACGTGCTTCATGTGCAGCTGTTGGACTTAGTGGGCGTCCAGCTGCTTCAGGGTAACCGTGCTGTGGTCAAGTTCCGTCACCAGGTTGCCTTTCAGGCGTTTCTCAGACTGTGTGAGGGGCGTGTTTGCCCTTTCCCTGATTCTGCCGGTTCTGTTAAAGTGGTGAATCTTAGTGTCACCTTGACGTATGTGGCAGTGCATGGTGCCCCCTTCGAGTTTCCCTGACGATCTTTTGACTTCCTGTTTTGAACGGTTTGGAACTGTGCTAAGTGTTTGTTGGAACAAGGTCTTTGCCAGACACTCTGCTGGGATGCTTGAAGGCTCCAGCTCCCTGACGATATCGCTGAAGTGTCATGTTCCGTCTTCGGTTTCCGTGTTGGGTTACACGCTCTGCTGCCTGTATCATGGGAAACCGCGCACCTGTTATAGATGTGGTCACGCGGGTCATCTAGCTGCAGCGTGCGACGTGGGAGCAACTGGTAGGGTACATATATATCATGCGGAGGATTTTCTGTTCCTGTTGCATTCGAATGGTTCTTAGGACGGAGTGGGTACTGTGCCTGAGGTGCCTGATTGCCTGTCTGCTGCTACATATGTTGAAGCGGGTTCTACGGCTTGTGCGTCACGTCTGATGCCTGCCATGGCCCCAGGGGAGGATGAGCCGGCGTGTGTGGGTATCGGGCCGTCGCCTACACTGTGGGTGGTTATCTTGAGGTTATCTTCAGATGATTTTGGGGCTTTAGTGTCCCCGCGGCCAGGTCCTCGATCAGGCCTCCACCCCCAGGAAGCAGCCCGTGACAGCTGACTAACACCCAGGTACCTATTTACTGCTAGGTAACAGTGGCATTCAGGGTGAAAGAAACTTTGCCCATTTGTTTCTGCCTCGTGCGGGAATCGAACCCGCGCCACAGAATTACGAGTCCTGCGCGCTATCCACCAGGCTACGGGGCCCCTATGTATGGAGGGGTCCCAGTGGTGGAGTATGTCCCAGTGGAAGTCTATGTTCCGCCCACGCCTGTCGATGTGGTCCCGGCTTCCGTGGGTGCGTGTTCTTCTGTTTTGGAGGGGTTGCTTCGGCCGGGGGATGTGCCTGCTGTGCCTGTGTGTATCGACGCCAGTAGTTTTGATGCTTTCATCCTTTTGCTGAAGCGTGCACGCCGGTGTTCCAAGGCAGTTTCCTTGGATGAGGTAGACAGTGTGGGGGATGTGGCCTCTGTGGATTGTTCGGACGGTGAGGGTGGCCGTGCCTGAGGTGTGGAATGGTGAAAGTGGTGTGGTGCGGCCTGTCTCGAAGCAATCGCGGCGGGCTCAGAGTGTCTCCCCTTCGTGGTGTGCCTTGGGAGACGGTGGGGGAGAATGGTGATCCAGCGTCCCCCGTTGTAGGTGACGGGGCTGCAAGGGGCTGCATGTTGCTTCCTGTGCCCTCCTCTGCGCCTCCTGCTGTTGGATCCTCGCAGTGGGGGGTTGCCCCTGATGGTCGGGACCTCGTCATGGTGCTGAGGAAAAATGTGTGGCGGAGGGTCCTCGGCTCCTGTGCACAGTGGCGTGGCCACTGCTGCGCTTGCATCCCCTGTGGTTCTTCCTCCTTCGTTGCCCCGGTCTGCAGGGAGCCTTGTCACGACTGCTGGAGCTGTGACCCGTAAGGGTCAAGTGTTGGACCTTTTTCGGGATTCCTGGGTGCTTCCGATCCCGTGGTGCTCTTCCACTACCTGGGTACAGCGGGTGAAGGAGTTTCTTTGTGGGGTGCCAGATCGGATGCCACCGCCGACGGCGCCGCCTTGTAGCCGGGTGCCCTCTGACATCTTGCTGATCTGGGAGGCGTACTGCTTGAGTTTTCCGTATCTGGAGTTCCCTGGAAAATATTAGTAGACATCATGGACGCATCGTCCCGCCCTCCAGAGCGGGTAGTCTTCCTCTAATGTCCGCCTCTGTTTTCGTCGTCGCTCCTCTATCTACAGCTCCTCGAGACCAGCACTTTTGACCCTTATCATTCCCCATACACGCGTGTCCTAACATCTGTACTGTTGCAGTCATCGGGAGAACACCCCTTCATGCAAACTGCACCTGCTTTCAAGAAGATGAAGAAAATATACGACAACCACTTCCACAACGACTATAATTCACTACACTCCCCATTATTGCCTCAAAGACTAATATTCACCACACTCACCACCATTACAACAAAGACTAATATTCACCACACTCACCACTATTGCCACAAAGACTAACATTCACCACACTCACCACCATTACCACATAGACTAACATTCAGCACACTCACCAACATTACCACAAAGGAGAGTGATAATTCACCATATTCACCACAACAATCACCAGTTAATTGACAGATGAGGAAGCGGGACCAAAGAGCCAGAGCTCAACTCCAGCAAACACAACTAGGTGAGTACAACTTGGTGAGAACTCCTCACCACATTCACCACACACTCACCACATTCACAACCACAATTGCCACAAAGACCAACATTCACCACACTCGCCACCATTACCGCATAGACTAACATTCAACACACTACCACAAAGACTAACATTCACCACACTCACCACTATTACCTCAAAGACGGTCATCCAGACCACCAACTAGGAGGCCTCGTGAGAGATCGGGCCGCAGGAACGTTGCTCCTTGGAACAACGCAAGGTAACCTCAAGGTAAGGTATACCATGAACCACTTTTCTGTGATCTCTGGCGAGGCAAATTCCGTGAAGGAAGTCTCCTCTTATTCTATGCATGAAAAACCTAAGTTTACTTGAAATTGGTTCTCCGCGTTAAAGCTTTTAAATAAAGATTATAACACAATCAGGGACCAAACTACATATTTCTGATCATAAATATAAAATACTTAGCATAATAATTTGCATCTTTGGCAGGACTAAACTCGTATTTTTAGGCATTAAAAATGCACCAAACTTTGCCTTGCCATACTAATTAATCTGTAAGACCGACATTCAACATTCCTCAGCCAGCAATAAAAAATCTATAAATCCCTCTCAGTGTAACGCTGACACCAGACGAAGGATCAGAATCCTTTTCTTGTCTCCCTATTGGAACCATGCAGAGTTTTTTAATTCATTCTCTGATCGCGTGATCAATGCTCTCAATTACTAAAATAAATTATTAAGATTGTGTTGGGAAATTAAAAAAAAAATTATGTTCGAAGTTCGAAGCAGAAACTGTTGAACAGAAAATACATAAAAAACAGAAGTACATTAATGATAGTAGAGTGGAAGCGTTACTCACCTCGCCAGCAACGTACTCAGGAAGTTGCCTCACTTCCTGGGAACTCTCGTCTGTCGCTTCCTGCAACACAAAATGAGTGCTAAACATAAGATGACGCTTCTTAAATGTAAGACACATACTAAACACACACACAGACACAGACACACTCATACAACGACCAAAGAGTCAGAGCTCAACACCCCGCAAGCACAAATAGGTAAGTACACACACAAAGGAGAGGATGATCCAGCTAGACTTGATCTGATAGTCTCCCTGCCTCCATGAAATGCCAGTGTTGGAAGTGTTCACAGTGTCCAATCATTTGATAATCTGATGGAGTTAAGGGAAATCTTTTCCCTCAAACAAAGACCGGAAAGAATTGGGCTAACATGCCAAAACGGAAACTATGAGGAGATGAAAAAGTTCCTAACATAAATACCATGAGAAACGGAACTTAAGGTAAAGGCTGTACAAGACAAGATCGAGTACGTAACACAAAAATGTCAAGAGGGAGTAAATATGTTTCTCCCGTCCAAATAGGCAAAAGAGGAATCCGTGATTTAATCAGGCATGTGAAGAAGCAAGTCATTTAAATACAAGAGCGTGAGCAACTACAAAAATAACAGAACAGCAGAGAGCAGGGGGAAGAATTTGCCCGAAACGCTATGAGTACTAGTGGCTTTAGGTATTGTATGTACTACCTCTATCTTTAAATCTAACAGAAGTTTTGTACTGTAACGCTGCAACTATGTATGTACTGTTCCTAAATAAATTATTATTATTATTATTATTATTATTATTATTATTATTATTATTATTATTATTATTATTATTATTATTATTATTATTATTATTATTATTATTATTATTATTATTATTATTATACCAGAGGGCCAGAAATGAATACCTTAGTGTGTGAAGAGAAGCAGACAGTATATAAATGAAAGCAAATAAAGCCAAGACCAACCACAAACCGCTCAACAGTCACATCAGGAGGAAATCAATAGTGAAAGAACAAGTGACGAAATTGAAAGTGGGTGAGGACAGGTACACAGAGAATGACAGAGGTGTGTGAAGAACACAACAAGAGATTACAGGAGGTTTTACAAAAGAACGACGTGAGGTCCGAACTAAGAAAGGTGGCAACAAACCAGATAGCACCAACATGGGGGTTTTGGTGTTGTTGTTGTTAACGTTAGTGCGACCACCAACGTTAGGGCGCCTGACAGCTAGGTGGACAGCGCTTCGGATTCGCAGACCTGAGGTTCCGGGTTCGATCGCCGGTGGAGGCGGAGAGAAATGGGCAAAATGTTTCTTTCACCCTGATGCCCCGGTTACCTAGCAGTAAATAGGTACCTGGGAGTTAGACAGCTGCTATGGGCTGCTTCCTGGGGGTGGAGGCCTGGTCGAGCACCGGGCCGCGGGGAAACTAGGCCCCGAAATCCTCTCAAGATAACCTTTGACACAGTGCCCCATAAGAGGCTGTAGCATTAGCTGGAGAAACAGGCAGTAATAACTGGTAGGGTGCTCCATTGCATAAGGGAGTACCTAAGCAATAGGAACCAGAGAGTTAGTGTGGGGTGAGACTTCAGATTGGCGTGAAGTCACCAGTGGAGTCCCACAGGCCTGTGTACTCGGACCTATCCTGTTTCTGATATACGTAATTGATCACCCAGAGGGAATATACTCATTCCTTTCAGTGTTTACTGACGACGCCAAAATTATGAGAAGGATTAAGACAGAGGAGGACTGGTCGAGGCTTCAAGAAGATCTGTACAAGCTGAAGGAATATTCGAACAAATGGTTGTTAGAGCATTTAACCAAGTAAATGGGCACTAATGTAATGTAATGAAGATAGGTGTAGGGAGCAGGAGACCTGATACAAGGTATCATTTGGGAGATGAAATACTTCAAGAGTCACAGAGAGAGGAAGACCTCGGGGTTAATATCACACCAGACCTGTCCCCTGAAGCCCATATCAAGAGGATAGCATCAGCGGCATATGCTAGGCTGGCAAACATAAGAACGGCCTTTAGAAACTTGTTTAAGGAATCATTCAGAACGTTGTATACCACATATGTCAGACCAATCCTGAAGTATACGGCTCCAGCATGGAATCCATATCCAGTCCAGCATAAGACTAAACTGTAAAAGGTTCAATGGTTTGCCACCAGACTAGTAACTGAACTGAGGGGTATGAGCTACGAGGAGAGACTACGGGAATTAAACCTTACGTCACTGGGAGACAGAAGAGTTGGGGGGACATGATCACCACATACAAGATTCTTAGAAGACCTGATAGAGTAGATAAAGACAGACTGTTTAAACACAAGTGGCACATACACTAGTGGATACAGGTGGAAACTGAGTGGCCAAATGAGCCATAGAAACTATACAAAGAATATTTTCAGTGTCAGAGTAGTTGAAAAATGGAATGCATTAGTAAGTGATGTGGTGGAGGCAGACTCCTTACACAGCTGCAAGTTTAGATATGATAGAGGCCAATAGGCTCAGGAACCTGTACACCAGTTGATTGACGGTTGAGAGGCGGGGTCAAAGAGCCAAAGCTCAACCCCCGCAAGCACTACTAGGTAAGTACAGCTAGGTAAGTACACACACTGTATTCACCTAGTTTTACTCACGAAGTTGTACTCACCTAGTTGTGATTGCGGGGGTTGAGTTCTGTCTCTCTGGTCCCGTCCCTAACTGTCAATCAACTGGTGTACAGATTTCTAAGCCTACTGGGCTCTATCATATCTACATTTGAAACTGTGTATGGAGTCAGCCTCCACCACATCACTGCCTATTGCATTCCACCTGTTAACCACTCTGACACTGAAAAAGTTCTTTCTAATGTCCCTGTGGCTCATTTGGTTACACAGTCTCCACTTGTGTCCCCATGTTCGCGTACCACCCGTGTTAAACAGTTTATCTTTATCTACCCTGTTAATTCCTCTGAAAATTTTGTAGTTAGTGATCATGCCTCCCCTTACTCTTCTGTCTTCCAGTGTTGTGAGGTGCATTTCACGCAGCCTTTCCTCGTAACTCATTCATCTTCTTTCTGTGACTAGCCTAGTGGCTACCTCTGAACTTTTTCCAGCTTCCTCTTGTGCTTCACTAGGTACGGGCTCCATGCTGGGGCAGCATACTCCAGGATTGGTCTTACATATGTGGTGTACAAGGTTCTGAAGGACTACTTACACAGGTTCCTGATGACAGTCCTAATGTTAGCCAATCATGCATACGCCGCTGATGTTATTCGTTTGACGTGGGCTTTAAGAGACAGGTTTGGTGTGATATTTACTCTTAGATCTTTCTCTGTGTCCGTTTCATGTGTGTGTCACGGGAAATGTAAATGCGAGCCGTAGACACTCACCAACTCATGGCAGCTGCGTGAGGGAGGACTGACGAGGAGCTGAGCCCAGCAGCACGTCCCAACCTGTACTCATGGGGAAAATAGTTCACATTATTAAGAAGTAATGATAGTTATTTATAACAGTAACACTAAAATTTGTAATTATTATAGTAATATAAGTTATAGAAGTATTAAAATAGAATAGTGGCCGGAAACATTGATCACAGACTCAAAATTTACAAGTATACTGAAGTCCTACACATTGTCCAGCATTAATTTTAGTTTCAGTGTATATTCACTGCATATACAGTGTATATATATCCAAATATCATAAGGGAATTTGTTTGCTGTTGAGGTTAAAAGCTTCCAGCCTCAGTAGGTGACACTGAAGGCCACTGACATAATTGACACTGACACAATTGACACTGACACAATTCCACTGACACAATTGACACTGACATAATTGACACTGACACAATTGACACTGACACAATTGACACTGACACAATTGACACTGACATTAAGGCCACCATAATTGCTTACTGACCAACCAGTGAAAATACATTAGTTATGAACATGGACAAGCCATTGGGAGCCGGTCGGCCGAGCGGACAGCACGTTGGACTTCTGATCCTGTGGTCCCGGGTTCGATCCCGAGCGCCGGCGAGAAACAATGGGCAGAGTTTTTTTCACCCTATGCCCCTGTTACTTGGCAGTAAAATTGGTACCTGGGTGTTAGTCAGTTGTCACGAGCTGCTTCCTGGGGATTGAGGCCTGGTCGAGGACAGGGCCGCGGGGACACTAAAGCCCCGAAATCATCTCAAGATAACCTCAAGATAGATCCTCTTGCTTATGTAGTACTTTTCTGTGACTGTGTGTGCACCATAGTACAAATATTGACGTACTAAGTAATTAGATAGTATTATTCACTTTATGTAGTCCGAAAAAAACGAAGATAAAAACAAACTTATAATTTCTAGGCCTTGTAAAGCACACAGAGTAGGCATCCATTAGTCTCAGTAGACTAAAGTGTTGCGCTCTGGTTGTCGGTCTGGAGTGGCCTCTCCGCGGCGCAAACCCAGGGTAGGTTTATACGGAGAAGCTGTTACCCAAACAGCAGATCCCCCTTCTCCACGGTGCCGAAAGTCTCCAATGGAAAGGCAAATGCCAATACGACTAGTTCCAGCGCCGTCGCTGGAACTGTGAGCTCCAGGGTTGACCTCGAACCTGGTGAAAGAAGGCGCAGGGACTCCAAACAAAGAGACCGCCGTGGTCGGGGCCGGAGAAGAGCCGCCCAATCAAGAGCAAGAACGACCCCAGCCTCCTGAAGCAGTGCAACCCGTTCTCGCACTTTCGTATAGTCAATATTGACTTATTAAATACGTGCATATGTGACATACTAATTTATTGTGAATATTTTAGTTTACCTAGAAAAGCTTCACAGAAAACACCGACCTTACCTAACCTTCTTAGTATGTTAAGATAAGCATCTTATTGCTTCGTAATTACAATTATTACTTAACCTATTATAGGTATAGGTTAAGTAACATACTTAAGAAGCTAGTTAAGGTTAACATACTAAGAAGGTTAGGTAAGGTCGGTGTTTTCTATGAAGCTTTTCAAGGTAAACTAAAATATTCACAATAAATTAGTATGTCACATATGTACTTACTTAATAAGTCAATATTGACTGTAAGAAAGTGCAAGAACGGGTTGGAAGCAGAGCTTGGGCCGCACGAGCCCCAGGAGGTGGACGTCTCAGTCCTCACCTACGGGTTGTAGACAGAGGTCGTCACAGCCCTCTTTCACCCGAGGCCAGCAGCTTCCTTCATGACCATGCAGAAGGATAAGTGGTAATTATTAAATACAAAAAATGAACTATATTAAGCCTCAGATAGCGTGTATTAGGCCTTGGAAGGATAGGTTTGGTAAGTTGAATTAATCTTTGCAACATAAGTAGAAAATCGTTTTTCGGTTTGTTCACATTCCATAGTACCGATTTCTACTTTTTAATTTAGTTGTACGTCGGTATTTATATCTTATCCTTCCTATAATTACTATCAAAACAGGAAGATGATAATGAGCATTGTCCAGGATTAAATGTTTGTACACCGAGGGGCCTCGTAGCCTGGTGGATAGCGCGCAGGACTCGTAATTCTGTGGCGCGGGTTCGATTCCCGCACGAGGCAGAAACAAATGGGCAAAGTTTCTTTCACCCTGAATGCCCCTGTTACCTAGCAGTAAATAGGTACCTGGGAGTTAGTCAGCTGTCACGGGCTGCTTCCTGGGGGTGGAGGCCTGGTCGAGGACCGGGCCGCGGGGACACTAAAAAAAGCCCCGAAATCATCTCAAGATAACCTCAAGATAACCCAGAGGCTGGACACAGCGAGAAGTTCATCCCGGTAAGAAGTCTGGTCACCAGCAGCACCCCGATAACTGTAATATCTCCAGTGCTCAAACAATTATGTATCAGCGATAAGACCCACCATTAATGAATACTGACTTACTCTCAATATAATTTAGCCGCCTCCAGCGGCAACAATCAATCTTGAGCTTAACGTCTGTCATATTATGGAAGGTTATTAAGGCAGCAACAACATGTTGCAAACTAACAAGAATAATCTAGTCCTGAACATAGTCCACGACTTGTGTAAACTCTGGGTGTATATACACCAAGAAGCGGGTTACACCTCTCACTGTTTACGTGCCCGGGGGGGTGGAGGAAGGGAGGTGTACCGTGATGTCACAGTCCCTGGTGTACACCGGACTCCACCGCCCGGGGAGGGGGAGGGTGTTACCGTGATGCCACAGTCCCTGGTGTACACCGGACTCCACCGCCCGGGGAGGGGGAGGGTGTTACCGTGATGCCACAGTCCCTGGTGTACACCGGACTCCACCGCCCGGGGAGGGGGAGGGTGTTACCGTGATGCCACAGTCCCTGGTGTACACAGGACTCCACCGCCCGGGGAGGGGGAGGGTGTTACCGTGATGCCACAGTCCCTGGTGTACACCGGACTCCACCGCCCGGGGAGGGGGAGGGTGTTACCGTGATGCCACAGTCCCTGGTGTACACCGGACTCCACCGCCCGGGGAGGGGGAGGGTGTTACCGTGATGCCACAGTCCCTGGTGTACACCGGACTCCACCGCCCGGGGAGGGGGAGGGTGTTACCGTGATGCCTCAGTCCCTGGTGTACACCGGACTCCACCGCCCGGGGGGGGGGTGTTACCGTGATGCCTCAGTCCCTGGTGTACACCGGACTCCACCGCCCGGGGGGGGGAGGGTGTTACCGTGATGCCACAGTCCCTGGTGTACACCGGACTCCACCGCCCGGGGGGGAGGGTGTTACCGTGATGCCACAGTCCCTGGTGTACACCGGACTCCACCGCCCGGGGGGGGGGGGTGTTACCGTGATGCCACAGTCCCTGGTGTACACCGGACTCCACCGCCCGGGGGGGAGGGTGTTACCGTGATGCCACAGTCCCTGGTGTACACCGGACTCCACCGCCCGGGGAGAGGGGGAGGGGAGGGTGTTACCGTGATGCCTCAGTCCCTGGTGTACACCGGACTCCACCGCCCGGGGGGGAGGGTGTTACCGTGATGCCACAGTCCCTGGTGTACACCGGACTCCACCGCCCGGGGAGGGGGGGAGGGGAGGGTGTTACCGTGATGCCTCAGTCCCTGGTGTACACCGGACTCCACCGCCCGGGGGGGGGTGTTACCGTGATGCCACAGTCCCTGGTGTACACCGGACTCCACCGCCCGGGGGGGAGGGTGTTACCGTGATGCCACAGTCCCTGGTGTACACCGGACTCCACCGCCCGGGGAGGGGGGGAGGGGAGGGTGTTACCGTGATGCCACAGTCCCTGGTGTACACCGGACTCCACCGCCCGGGGGGGGAGGGTGTTACCGTGATGCCTCAGTCCCTGGTGTACACCGGACTCCACCGCCCGGGGGGGGGAGGGGAGGGTGTTACCGTGATGCCTCAGTTCCTGGTGTACACCGGACTCCACCGCCCGGGGGGGGGGGGGGGGGGCGGGAGGGGAGGGTGTTACCGTGATGCCTCAGTTCCTGGTGTACACCGGACTCCATCGCCCGGGGGGGGGGGTTACCGTGATGTTACAGTCCCTGGAGTACACCAGACTACACCGCCCGGGGGGGGGGGGGGGGTACCGTGATGTCACAGTCCCTGGAGTACACCGGACTCCACCGCCCGGGGGGGGGGTACCGTGATGTCACAGTCCCTGGAGTACACCGGACTCCACCGCCCGTGGGGGGGGGGGGTACCGTGATGCCTCAGTCCCTGGTGTACACCGGACTCCGCCGCCCGGGGGGGGGGGGGGTATCGTGATGCCACAGCCCCTGGTGTACACCGGACTCCGCCGCCCGGGGGGGGGGGGTATCGTGATGCCACAGTCCCTGGTGTACACCGGACTCCACCGCCCGGGGGGGGGGGCGGGGAAACCGTGATGCCTCAGTCCCTGGTGTACACCGGACTCCACCGCCCGGGGGGGAGGTGTTACCGTGATGCCACAGTCCCTGGTGTACACCGGACTCCACCGCCCGGGGGGGCGGGGAAACCGTGATGCCTCAGTCCCTGGTGTACACCGGACTCCACCGCCCGGGGGGGGGGGGCGGGGAAACCGTGATGCCTCAGTCCCTGGTGTACACCGGACTCCACCGCCCGGGGGGGGGGGCGGGGAAACCGTGATGCCTCAGTCCCTGGTGTACACCGGACTCCACCGCCCGGGGGAAGGAAGGGGGGGGGGGGTAGCGAGATGCCACAGTCTCTGGTGACCACCGGACTCCACCGCTGATTATCTTCTTAACTGCCTGCAGTATACATGTGCCTAAGACCACTCCAAGATTTCACGAAACTTAACATCTTCTTACAAGTTACTTAACAATCTAATAAAAATTAAAGTCTAGTACAAATTAAAGTCTTTATTTTGACACTAAAACCCAAACAAAAATTAAACAAGGCTCTGACTCTGGCTGGTGCTCGAGAACTCTGTCAAGTTTGCATCAGATCTATCAATGCTCCTTGTGTAAAATGTGATTCGTCTTTAAATCCGCAATATAGATCAAACGCATTTAAATATTATGATGATAATTAAGTGTTATTTTAAGGCAATCTTAAACAAATCTTCGTACATAATGCAATCTAGTATTATGAATTGAAGTATACAAAATATTTTGTCTCAGGACGTCAAAAGTAATCGTAGCGAAGTTCTTATATATATATTATACAATTTCACATATTCTACATAGCTATGTTAATAAGCTATTTATTAATTTAATTTGATGTTTCTCATATTTCTAATGCAAATTAAACTTTCATTGAGTAAACGATCATTTTAAAGTTAATATACAGCAATTTACAGCTAGAAGCTTAACGAAAAAGTTACTAAAATGATTGTTTTAAAAGTTCACATTAAACTTTAAATTCAGTTTTAGACGATGACATTAATGAGAAGTTAGACTAATACTCACAGTCAGGAGGAGTAGGAGATGCTTGGCCATGCTGGCGGGTGTGTGCTGGTGTAGTGTGAGTGGTGAGGCTCACAGCCCTTATATACCTCATGCTCCCTCAACAGGAAGCCCATCCCACCATATTACACATCGCATTTTTTCTCCCAGGACGACTATGTGGACATTACATACACGAACACATGTTGTTCCAGGAAGGACGTCTCACAGCAACATTGAGGCTCATCATGGTACAGTGGGAAGTAGGTGCTCCTGGTGAGTGTTATCAACCAGGCTGTGATATATACGTCAGGCTGCGAGCAGCCGACACCAACAGCCTGGTTCACTAGTCCAGCAACCTGGAGACTCGGTCAGAGACCGGGCCACAGGAATGTAAATCCCCGAAATCAAAACGCAAGGTCATTCGCCTGTTCTGTAAGGTGAATACAGAAAAGTAAAATCAATCATACTTATTGTCATGACATTTTATCCTGAGAGCGTTGCCTCGGGCATGACACAGCAGCATGAGCATGAGCATGACACAGCTGCGTCGAGCATGACACAACAGGATCGAGCATGACTCAGCTGCCTCGAGCAGGACACAGCTGCCTCGAGCATGACTCAGCTGCCTCGAGCAGGACTCAGCTGCCTCGAGCAGGACACAGCTGCCTCGAGCATGACTCAGCTGCCTCGAGCAGGACACAGCTACCTCGAGCAGGACACAGCTGCCTCGAGCAGGACACAGCTGCCTCAAGCATGACACAGCTGCCTCAAGCATGACACAGCTGCCTCGAGCATGACACAGCTGCCTCAAGCATGACACAGCTGCCTCGAGCATGACTCAGCTGCCTCGAGCATGACACAGCTGCCTCGAGCATGACTCAGCTGCCTCGAGCATGACACAGCTGCCTCGAGCATGACACAGCTGCGTCGAGCATGACACAGCTGCCTCGAGCATGACACAGCTGCCTCGAGCATGACACAGCTGCCTCGAGCATGACACAGCTGCCTCAAGCATGACACAGCTGCGTCGAGCATGACACAGCTGCCTCAAGCATGACACAGCTGCCTCGAGCATGACACAGCTGCGTCAAGCATGACACAGCTGCCTCGAGCATGACACAGCTGCCTCGAGCATGATAGGGTTGTCTTGAGCATGATAAGGTTGTCTTGAGCATGATAGGGTTGTCTTGAGCATGATAAGGTTGTCTTGAGCATGATAGAGTTGTCTTGAGCATGATAGGGTTGTCTTGAGCATCATAGGGCTATCTTGAGCATGATAGGGTTGTCTTGAGCATGGTAGGGTTGTATGAAGCATGGTAGAGTTGTATTGAGCATGATAGGGCTTTCCTGAGCATGATATGGTGGTCTTGAGCATGATAGGGTTGTCTTGAGCATGATAGGGTTGTCTTGAGCATGATAGGATTGTCTTGAGCATGATAGGGCTATCTTGAGCATGATAGGGTTGTCTTGAGCATGATAGGGCTATCTTGAGCATGATAGGGTTGTCTTGAGCATGATAGGGTTATCTTGAGGATGATAAGGTTGTCTTGAGCATGATTGGGCTGTCCTGAGCATAATATGGTTGTCTTGAGCATGATAGGGTTGTTTTGAGCATGATAAGGTTGTCTTGAGCATGATTGGGCTGTCCTGAGCATAATATGGTTGTCTTGAGCATGATAGGGTTGTTTTGAGCATGATAAGGTTGTCTTGAGCATGGCAGGGTTTTCTTGAGCATGATAAGGTTGTCTTGAGCATGTTAGGGTTGTCTTGAGCATGATAGGGTTGTCTTGAACATGAATGGGCTGTCTTGAGCATGATAGGGTTGTCATGAGCATGACAGGGTTGTCTTGAGCAGGACAGGATTGTCATGAGCATGATAGGGTTGTCTTGAGCATGATAGGGTTGTCTTGAGCATTATAGGGCTGTATTGAGCATGATAGGGCTGTCATGAACATGATATGGTTGTCTTGAGCATGATAGGGTTGTTATGAGCATGATAGGGTTGTTATGAGCATGTTAGGGTTGTATTGAGCATGATAGGGTTGTCTTGAGCATGATAGGGTTATCTTAAGCATGATAGGGTTATCTTGAGCATGATAAGGTTGTCTTGAGCATGATAGGGTTGTCTTGAGCATGATAAAGATGTCTTGAACATGATAAGGGTTGTCTTGAGCATGATAGGGTTGTCTTGAGCATGATAAAGATGTCTTGAACATGATAAGGGTTGTCTTGAGCATGATAGGGCTGTCCTGAGCATTATATGTGTGGGAACCAACCTGTGAGATTTATATTTATTTAATTTATATGAATTTATATAGAATTTATATTTACATTAATTTGTATACTTCGATAGCAATTTGTATGATGATAAATGGACTGTATTTCTGCAATAATCTCAGAAATCGATCCTCTACACATTAGGGGGGGGGGGTTTATATTGAATTTATATATATGCAGCCAATCAAACTACAGTATTAGACTACATACATTGAAGAGGTTCCTTATCTTATTTATACAGCAGGCCTTAGTCCACCAGGTATAACCAGGATGTAGACACCAAATTATCCTCTTTGAGGTAGCTTCCATCTCCCAGTAACTGGTACACAAAGCATGCTTCCTTGTCTTGACCTGTCAAAAGGGCGCTAGCTGTAAAGCCAGAATCCTAATATATGACAGCTATATCAGAGAAAACACTGTACAAGGAACCATAAAGACCTAGGCTTAATTACCTTTAGTATGAGGCGATCTCGTATTCTAACGGGCTCACCCTATCTAATGACATTAATGGCCACAAATGATAGATAAATGGGTTTCGGCAGAACACTTAACTTGTATTTGTTGACAGCGTGTTGATGATGGTACACCTTTGGTTTCCATAACACTTCGTCCAAGTAAAATTAACAGGAGCCGAATTGCTCCCATGCCTCTGGTCTAAGTACAATAACAATGGCTCACCACTGCCTCCTCACTGACGCTACTGGTCTACATTGTCCAGATGACAGTAAGTGATTGAAGGGTAACATTTACTCTATTTTAATTCTGATAATTAAGTTAATTTATATGACATGTTTTTATGATGGTAAAGTCCAAAGACTAATGTATTTAAGAATAATTCCCACCATAATAGGTGGTGAATTTATAATAGTATGTGGTAATGATATCCCGTTTTCTATAGACGGAAATTCCACTACAAGTTACATTTTCTATGGGTAACTTGTTTATACAACGCAGCAGCAATATTATCTGCCTGTATGATATTATTAAATGGTGTTGGATTTTCCGACAATATGGTTGTCTTGAGCATGATACAGCTGTCTTGAGAATGATAGGGCTGTCTTGAGCATGATAGGGTTGTCTTGAGCATGATAAGACTGTGCTGAGCATGATAGGGTTATCTTGAGCATGATAAGGTTGTCTTGAGCATGATAGGGTTGTCTTGAGCATGATATGGCTGTCCTGAGCATCATAGGGTTATCTTGAACATGAATGGGCTGTCTTGAGCATGATAGAGTTATCTTGAGCATAATAGGGTTGTCTTGAGCATGACAGGGTTGTCTTGAACATGATAGGGTTATCTTGAACATGAATGGGCTGTCTTGAGCATGATAGAGTTATCTTGAGCATAATAGGGTTGTCTTGAGCATGACAGGGTTGTCTTGAGCATGATATGGTTGTCTTGAGCATGATAGGGTTGTCTTAAGCATGATAGGGTTGTCTTGAGCATGATAGGGTTGTCTTGAGCATTATAGGGCTGTATTGAGCATGATAGGGCTGTCATGAATATGATAGGATTGTCTTGAGCATGATAGGGCTGTCTTGAGCATGATAGGGTTGTCTTGAGCATGATAGGGCTGTCTTGAGCATGATAGGGTTGTCTTGAGCATGATAGGGCTGTCTTGAGCATGATAAGGTTTTCCTGAGCATGATAAGGTTGTCTGGAGCATGACAGAGATGCCTCCAGCATGACAGGGATTCCTTCAGCATGACAGAGATGCCTCCAATATGACAGAGATGCCTCCAGCATGACAGAGATGCCTCCAGCATGACAGGGATTCCTCCAGCATGACAGGGATTCCTCCACCATGACAGAGATGCCTCCAGCATGACAGGGATGCCTCTAGCATGACAGGGATGCCTCCAGCATGACAGAGATGCCTCCAGCATGACAGGGATGCCTCCAGCATGACAGGGATTCCTCCAGCATGACAGGGATTCCTCCAGCATGACAGGGATGCCTCCAGCATGACAGGGATGCCTCCAGCATGACAGGGATGCCTCCAGCATGACAGGGATGCCTCCAGCATGACAGAGATGCCTCCAGCATGACAGGGATTCCTCCAGCATGACAGGGATGCCTCCAGCATGACAGAGATGCCTCCAGCATGACAGAGATGCCTCCAGCATGACAGGGATGCCTCCAGCATGACAGAGATGCCTCCAGCATGACAGGGATGCCTCCAGCATGACAGGGATGCCTCCAGCATGACAGAGATGCCTCCAGCATGACAGGGATGCCTCCAGCATGACAGAGATGCCTCCAGCATGACAGGGATGCCTCCAGTATGACAGGGATGCCTCCAGCATGACAGGGATTCCTCCAGCATGACAGGGATGCCTCCAGCATGACAGGGATGCCTCCAGCATGACAGGGATGCCTCCAGCATGACAGGGATGCCTCCAGCATGACAGGGATGCCTCCAGCATGACAGGGATGCCTCCAGCATGACAGGGATGCCTCCAGCATGACAGGGATGCCTCCAGTATGACAGGGATGCCTCCAGCATGACAGAGATGCCTCCAGCATGACAGGGATGCCTCCAGTATGACAGGGATGCCTCCAGCATGACAGGGATGCCTCCAGCATGACAGGGATGCCTCCAGCATGACAGGGATGCCTCCAGCATGACAGGGATGCCTCCAGCATGACAGGGATGCCTCCAGCATGGCAGCGATGCCTCCAGCATGACAGGGATGCCTCCAGCATGACAGGGATGCCTCCAGCATGACAGGGATGCCTCCAGCATGACAGCGATGCCTCCAGCATGACAGGGATGCCTCCAGCATGACAGGAATGCCTCCAATATGACAGGGATGCTTTGAGTATAAC